ACTCGCGCCACCCCCGCCGGGAGGTTATACAGACGGCGCAGGCGCGGCCAGGTCGCCGGCGGCGCGACGGGGTCGGCGACGCGGGGTCCACGACAGCTCTTGTAATGCGCGTTTGGTGCACTTGTCTGTTTGCCGACGGGATTACAATTTGGACTAAGGCCGGGGCGGCGGCCAGCTGCCGCGCGGGCGGCTCTGTTTGCGCAAGGGATAGGGGATATAGGCACGACAGCGACGACAGGGCGGCGCGCGGGACTTTTGAACCGGCGTGTCAGACGCACGAGCAGGTGTGTGACAGCGGTGTTACACACAATCGGGTGCATGACAGCCATCTCTATTCTCGTTTAGAACAGGGCCGGACGGGGAGCTCGGGTGTGGCGACGATGGTGCCCGCGAACTTCCCGGCCTCCCCACTCTCGTCAACAACTCCTCAATGACCCTCATTTTTGAAAACTGGGTACACTGGTAAAAACAAGTGTGCAAAATTTGCACACCAAACGTGTGCAAGTTATGATTTTGCACATCACATGGTGTTTAATTCAAGTTTGCACACTTGCGTGGTGTGCAAATTTAGGACGTTTTGAAAACGTTTAAAATTTGCACACTTCGGCACATAGTTCTATGCTATCAATAGGAAGCATGTGGTGTGCAGCTGCGAGACTTTTCGGAAGTGTCGAAAGTTTAAACACCAATTGACGTTTAACCTAGTTATACACCACAAAGTGTCTAAAAAATGCACACTTGAACTTAAACACCAATTGACGTGCAAAGTTAAACACTTGTTGTACCAGTGTACGACACGCGTGTTGTACCTGGAGGTCGCACGCGAACCACTTTCGCTATCGGCTCATTAGGGAACTCGGCTATCTGTAGATAGACAACTAGACGAACACCGGAAATATCGTTGGCAACCTTTGTTTCGCGTATTATCACGGTATAAAATCCCGCTACTGGTCTACTGTTTTTATGCCCTTTTTGTCCTCACGGCAGCAGGCCACCAGCGGGTCACTAATGGCCACAGCACATTGCTCTTCACTGAGCCAGCATCCAGTTCCGTCTAGTGCCGGTGAAACAGTGTCCCGGGGATCATGGCGAGCACACTCGTGGCTCTAGCACTCATGTGCTCGGTGGGCATCCACGGCAGAGCTATCAACTCTGTGATAGTAGGTTGTACCTTTTCTGAATGACAATTATTTCAAATGCGGCCTGTGCTCCCTATGTGCCTTTACCGTGACCACATAGAAGACGGATCTGTTAAATAACATTTAGTGTAAGGTCAATGTAATAATCAGGCCTCCCTAGATGTTATTTTCAAAAGTCGGCCTTCAATACGACGGTTTTCCTAACCGCATAAGCAGGTGTACATTCCCTGTTTGTAATAGGGCCCTTACATTGCTTACGCGGAGCGCTATTACATGTGTGAACCCGACAACCGCCCGCTTCCTTGGAGATGGTGGGTGCGTACCACTCACTTCAACCCGGTGAGACCAAAGGTGTTGCCGCGAATAACAGGCAATATGACTTCTACAAGTGGAGATCTTGATGACAGCGTCTGGGTAAGATATTGCAAAGAGAAGTGTGTAACATTCAAACATCACGGAAAAAAATAGTCATTCTGCCACCTAATATTATATGTATATGGATGTATAAGGGAGAGTGGGGCACATAGTGTCACCTTTTGGGAAGTCTTCTCTCACAGTCCTAGTTTAGGCAGCATTACGGGTTTTGGGGTTGGTGAGCCTCTATTCGACCTCCAGTCACACGAAATCATTGAGACCCGCCCAAAAATATTCGTGTCTTTTCTTAAATCATCTCGAGAAGAAACCTCGGTCATTTACAG